ATTCAGAGAGGAACTTTCGGTCTGCTAAAATACCGCCGCATAAAAATGCCTCGAGTTTCTAGTAGTTTGCTTTCCAGGAGTTCGTAGGTTTGGGCCTTTCTCCTATCGGTAAATCGTGAAGGCATAGAAGAAGAAACAACGACGACTTGGAAGTAAAAACGGTAGGATTAGTTGATAGAGTCCAGGTTTTGATCCCGACTGTCCTTGATCATTGTGATTGTGAATAAATGGTCCTGTCTGGGGAACTAGAGGTTTTAGCTAACAAAAAAGGGCTACACAAGTACAGTAGAACTTTGATAACAATACTCTCATGGGGATTATAAAATAAGTCTGCTTACCAAGGTTGACTTCTTATTGAGGTTTGCAATAACATGTGTTTAGAGGTAAAATAAATTCAAGGGGATTTGAAAAATACACTTGTTATCAAGAGTGACTTGTTATCGAGGGTCTTCTTATCGAGGTTCCACTGTAATTTCATTCCCCCCGCCTTCTGTCTTCTACCTCTAGTGTTGTATACAGCACGATTACAGTTGAAACATCGCAATTAAGGTCCTTATTTACGGCAAAGATGAAAATCCCTACTGTCATGAAAACACCGCGAAACGCCGATTAATAATTACCACGTTCCCAACAATGCACCACAAAATAAACTCTTTGTTCTACTCTAACCTTAATTCTGGACGAACAGGAATTGTACATTTTGTTCAACATTTATTAGAACCACGCTTTAAAAGAGCGATCTCCCACGACGTTCCCCTCAGTCACAGTCCCAGACGCAAACGCAGACAAAAAAAGTTCAATAATATTTTGAGACGCAACATTAACTAACAGTGGTAAAACAGCCATTAACCTCGAGACATCTGAATAAGCACGTGCAGTCTGGTTATTACGGCATTTCAAACACGTCAAACAATGAGTCGTAAACACTCGGTGGCAGCTGCGAGGCTTGATAGCGACAGGAAAAATGTAATAGAATCTAGCGGTCTTTGAGCATTGATTATATATATATTGACATGTATGGTCAGTGTTAAGTATCACTCATACGATTGAAACGTACTTCAAGATTTATCATCGTTTAATTCTTTCCGGTGTATGCCAGAGAACACTCAGTTATTTACAATTAAGGGCGTCTATTGTTAATTACGTTTGATAAAATTCTAAACGAGTCTATTGTAAACGATCGCCTGTTCCCCAATATTAGGCTTCAACCAAAAAGTAAAAAATATTTGGTTTTACATTACCTTTATCAGTTCCAAAAACTGAACTTTTGCAACTGATAAAGGTAATGTAAAACCAAATATTTGATATATTACAGTTCCGGTGCTACAACAATGTATTTCAAAAAGTAAAGTACAAAACGTAAAATGTTGAGAAAAAAAGAGAAACACATTTGACCCAACACGAAACATGCGTCAAAAACAGGCTTCAAATTTTACGATAAGGTTATGTCTATGTCTACAATTCAAAGTCAATGATGAAACTCACTGCATAATGGATTTCTAATCCCTATGTATCAACTTAAACCAATTTTTAGGTATGTTTCTTTCTAGTTTATTTATGAGGATGTGTGGTTTTAAATAGACTACGTATTTTTATCTAACTAAATTTGTGTAAGTAAAATACATTATGTGTGTACCGAAAACATACATCTTCTCAAAGCCAAATTGGTTAATGCTGTGAGTAACAGCGAAGTATTCAAACTTTTGTATACTGCAAAGATGTTTTTGTTTCTTGTTCAGAGGGCTCCATCATATCCTATCCTATAACGTAGGTCTGCTATCCAAAGTATTGTTGAAAGTATGTTTTCTGTGTTGAAAGGTTATGTGTACTGGGAGGGACTGACTCAGTTACTGTTTCTTGAGCTAATCGCGATTTTCCCGGTAGCTGGTAGCTGTCTGTGTAGAGTGTTCAGATAATCAGAGCTTGACCACAACCACAAGTTTCACTTTCAGATAACAGTTACCACTGTGGCTCTGTCATGGTCAGTAACCGCGTCGTCATCGTAACTCTAAATAACGATTGCCCTTTACGAGATTTACCTGGTACAATACACAAGCACATGTTTATTCGAAATACATTGAGTGGAAGTGCATTTTCCACATTGAACATAAACGTTATCAGCAATCTGACACACACTTTCGCCAATATTGGGAGAAGCCCAGAACCTTTATCATGGGTGATGGGTAAATGGCGGGACTGGTGGGTAATTATGATTTTCTACAGGAAAAATCAAAGAAAGATATTACAAAAACCTTAGCTCTTTTATTTTTACAGCTATTTAATTGTACCATTTTGCTAAGAGTTCGAAGGACTATAACAAATTAAAATTTAATAAAAATCGTTCGGGCCGTTTTCTTGAAAATATACTATTTTTCTGTCATTTTATAGGGTTTAATGAAAAATATTATAAAATCAAAATTGGACCACAGGTGTGTTGGTATGCATCCACACACACAGACATCACTTCGAAAACCACTTTTTATTCAGGGGGGTCCCCTAAACGAATTTATTCACCAAACACTCAAACTCGATAATTTTGACAAAAACAATTGTCTAATTTCCCTATACAGGTACGTAGAGGGGGAGAAATTAAAATAGTTTTGAACCATCTTATTCTGTTAAATATACTTAAAAATGCCATTTTCTGCCTGAACTGTTAATGCCGGTTTTATTCTAGAAGTTCAACAGAGAATAGGTCGCTAACAAATTGCTGAAACCAACGATTTATTAGACATCTGTGAGGATCAACTTCTGCCAGTCTTTCACGCAAAATAACACCATTCAAGTTTCTAAAGCTTATTTACATTTCTTTAATTAGATTTTCAGATAATTGATACATACCACGTATGGTTTTATAATAGTTTATGAAAAACCAATGTAACTGCTATTGACTATTTTTTTACTATTTTTAAATGGCGAAATGACAAGAAATGAGAGTAAAAACTAAAAATGAAAACCCACCCAATATAGGCCTACTGTGCGAACAGAAACATGACTTTAAATTGTGTTTAATCGATGGAAAGTGAAAAATCTTAAAGAGAATAAAGAACCGAATCACTATCCCGGATTTATAGTCTAGCAAAGGTCACAGTAACTTTTATTTATCAATACTAATATCTTTGACTATTGATACAACTTCAATAACCAATAGTCAATGGCAATCGCTTAAAACATACAAGACTAATTAATGTAACAGGTGTCATTATAGTCACTAAGCCAGCTGGCTAAAAAGCATATCATGATTATAGTAGTATCATTTAATAAAAAATAAAAAATAAACACCATACGTTTACCGCACCGGTGCTACAAAACACTAAAACACCAATAAAAAATAAAGAAATAATGTTTACAATTAGATTAATGATAAATTAGTCATACGCTTGTTTGGATCGCAATATCCATTATGTACTGTATTTGACACTCAATGAAAGAGCGGATTTGCAGAATTGTACTGCCAGTGTAGATAATGAACATCGTGTAAGAAATTACACTTTCCCTTGACTAACCCAGATACTGCAGTAATCGACAGCTGATGGTCAGCTGATGAATATTTACAACAGAATGTATCATGAGGAAGTAACATGCATCATTGCTAATTTTGGAATGTTTTGTACCGTACAGACAATTTACAATTAAAAAAGAGATTATATCAATGCTAATTAAAATACAATATTACAATGCACCGTAGTGTGTGAACGATTTCTGATAAGAAAAAAAAACAATTAGAAGTTGCAATTCACCAATAAATTTTGTCAATGAACGAAATGAAGTAATTGCCTTTGTTAAGTTTATCTCTATAGTAAAAAGTAAATTACGAATGGGTATGTATAATTATTAACGAGAACAGAATATTTGCCGAGCTCTTGTGATAAGCTAAACTACTTACTATATGTGTACTACAACTATACTAACAACGTTACTCAATATTATAGGCAGTATAGGATTAATATAGGTTATCCCATCTTGTTAGAATTTTTGAGCACATTGCCATCGGACATTGACTTACTTTTGATGGAAAAAACAAATCGTTTTGGATTTCGAATGTATCAAAAATTAAAAATAAACATCACAAACTTATCACAAACCCCATAGCAGAACAGTGCTTCAGAATTATAGCCACACTCCAAAAGCACATTGACACAAAGACAATGCATGGAGGTTTCTACTTCGACTTATCATTCTTTTCCCAACAATTAAACAACACATTCTAGACCTTAGACCAGGGGCCCATTTCATAATAAAGTACAAACTAATATTATTAGTAAATCAGCTGATCGCCCAATGCAAATCTTATGGAAATGTAACTTGTAGTTTATTATGAAATGGGCCCCAGGTTGCATATTGACATCTTGTCATTGCGTGAAATGTGAAAGGAAAATACAGTACCTAACTTTGTATTAGGCCTACCAACCAAATTGTTAACTAAGACTTTATTTAAATCAGTTTTTGAAAGTTTTATGTTTATGTATTACCGTAGCATGCGGATTTAGAAACAATTACAATCTTGACAAGTTTATGTTCTATGTTAATTATTGCTGTACATATACTTTGACACTATTTAACACAATTAATTAACACTGTAAGTTTACATAATATTTAAGTTATAAGGGTTAATACTTAAAGTATTCGTGGATAATACCGATAACTTATCTATCCCCCCAAAAAAAAAAAATAAAATAATAGAACACATAACAAAGTAACATAAAACATTAAGTTTTTATCTGAAAGCGTGCATTTTAAAACAAGTAAAAGTTGTTGTCTTGTGAGTTTCAATCGATACAAAAAAACCGTACACAAACATCACTACGAAAAGGCACTAAATTTACTGTTTAAAAATCATTGACTGTAGATTGTATCATTTTTGCCTTGATAGGAAACACAAACATTGTTTACTTAGCAGAGCAAGTCCACATCTGTTACTGTTGCACAGTATTGCACACATGTGCTACACAATGTGTTTGTAAAATAAAACGCAAAGCACAATCAAACATAAGACTCACCTTTGGTTAAGCTATCCAATTCAGCGCTCCCAATCCACGGACCAAACAACCTGTTCCAAAAACAAAACAGACGATGCAAACCAGTTCTGATTCGGACACACAAAACGCGGAACACACGGAAAGTTTGGTAAAACACGGATCACTGCTGTTGAACCGATTCAACACACCATAAAAACTGGAACGGTAAAGTTTTAATTGATAAAACTTAAACGTAAACACGACCGCGACAGCAACACGAGCCAGACGACGCTAGCGATAGTTACAGAATGAGCCGACAGAGGGGGGACTGAGGCGACGTTGCCAGATTTCTTCTTCTCTCCAGCGCCTCTACAATCTACCATCCACCGAAGAAAGACTCATTCATTCTAAATTCACCTATCGCCCCTCTCTCTCCTCTTCCAGAAACATTGACTATGGAAGTGTCTGATCAAATGTTTTCACTGTTGGGCATAGGAAGGTAATTATGTGGTAAATAGAAGCAGCTTTGCCTTCTTTTATAGTGTGGAAAAGGTTGTAAAAGCGTAAGGGAGCATATTCTATATACAGCACAGAAACTATATCCATAGACAAGAGAGAAAAAGTATTCTTTTGTCTATGCACAACCGTTCATAGATTTTTTTATTTATTTCAGAGCGAAACCGAGCAGAGTCCAAGGTATGAAATGAAAACCTCAGTAAGATGATATGTTTGCAGTTGTAGTAGACCATGGCGGACGTCAACCTCTAGTGTGGTGTATGACCACTGTCACTGTAATACTAATCTGGTAATGCAAATTCGACGAGTATATCCATGTTTTGTGTAGCTTTGACACTAGATCAGATCAAGCTCATGTAAACATTAAAAGTTCAGAGTCAATGACAATAATGAAAGCTGGTAAACTACATTCAGTTCCAAACAGTTCAAAAGGTTTAAAATTGACTTTACCCAAAATCGAGCGGGTAGGCCCCTAATTTCTTGGTTTTGCATAAATCTTATTTTTGTGTCATTCCTTAGCAAATGTATTTTTATATTTCGACCATTTCAAAACACCAAACCTAAAAAATTTCCTATAAATTCATAAATGAACTACAGTATTATGATAAAGATAAGTATGGGTGTTTTTAACTACTGCATCCGTCTATATTTTTAGGTTTATTCAAAAATATGTTTTGTAAATTAATTGGACCATTTAAAAACACTGAATTTAAATGATTTCCTTATGATGCAGAAATGAACTTTTGATAGAGATTAGTAAACTACTGCATAGTGCATCCATCAGGAAACATACATTCATTTATCATTTAAAAGAACGTGTTTGAAAATATTTTCAAGCTGAATAGATGGTGTGATTGGTGTAATTTGTTTGTCATTTGAAATTAATCGGGAAAATGCCTTTATAGACGCCCATTTTTAAATGCCCTGTTATTTGGTTTATTTGCCTAACTAACTTAATTGTATCATGTCAGTGGCTGTGTAGTGCTAAAGATATCACACTCAGCTGTTTCAGTGTTGTCAGGATAGTTTACCTGTTCTGTACTTAAACATAAAATTGAGTCATTGAATCATCACCTTCTCAATTCATCTTTTAGTCTTAAACCTATAATAATTATCTCTCGAAATAGATGATCACTTTGCAAATAATGTACTCCAAAATGGCCAGCAATTAACGTCATTTATATGAGTTGATTTGCACATCAGCGTGTGTATTTTTGCGGGCGAATGTTGCTCAAGGATGAACGTTGGATGAAATGTATGATAGCTTTGTCAACTGTCATGGATAGTAATAAATGATGATGAGAAGTACCTACAGAAGTTTCCCAATGGATTAAAGATGTTTTGTTTTACTTGACATCGCTATGCATTGTATTTTGAGAATAAATAGTTTAGTTTGATTTGAATGTTAGGTACAGGTTTTAATAATCAAAAAGCTACTGACATGTCTTAGGATAAAAACAGCAGCCTTTGATAACTATGAGGACACCGCCTTACCATTCAACTAACAAGCAACACGAACTCTGCTCAACCACACTTCTCTCTGGCTCATCAGAACTTGTACCCTCACAGCTGACTCTTACAATCAAACGGTCTGTCGTCTGTCCTGATGTGGATTGTGGAATGCTGGAGGCGCGGCAGAACACAAAGTCAACAGGTGGTTGTGGTTGTCTGCCTGAAGCAGCACCTCGCCTCACGAGGCACCGTTACCACAGATGTGTGTCAGTCGCTGAACTTTCCTTGCCATTTCTTCGCCGGTGGCGCGCCGACCCAACGCTCCGTTCCCGCCGTCCCGCCAACCGGTCCGCCGGTCCGTGAGAAATTCCACTGTTCCAGTTCGTTTTATTCCAACCACGGACAATGAGATTGGTTACGTAGAGTTTGATTTTCATAAAGAGGACCGCCATTAAAATTTGCCTTAGGTACTATTTTGCAAATTTGCAAATGCTCATTGATCAACATTTTCAAAAATATTCAACCGGAGAAGGGTGAAATGCATCGGTATAGGAAACACAGAGTATTAAAAAAATATTGATTTTTTTTTTTTAAGTGCCGCTATTTTGAAACGGAAAAAGATAATTAATTTCTGTTTCGCTAAAATGTTTGACTATTTAATACCTTTAAAATGATGTAGCCTACAACATGACATATGTTTACATTTGAAAACTCCGAGATTCGAACTAGTGACCCTCGGTTTTTGGCACATTCTGTATTGGAAAAAAGTTAAAAATATTTTTACGTTATTCCTTTTGGGGTTGATTTAGTGGGAAATAATTTTATTTCATCCTTGTACGTTAAGACGTTTTTCCCTAGTCAATTTGAGACACCTCTCGTGGGACACTCTGTATAAATTTAATGTTAAAATAGCATTTGAAAAATTAAAACAGTGCTGCAACTAGCAATGATGAAAGGGTTTTTTTGATTGCGGCACCTACAGTTCAACAACGGCAAACCAAGAACTTTGATGCAAGACGGGTAGTATTTTTAGTTGAGTAGGGCAACTTGTGAGAACTGCAATCTGGGTAGAAAATACTGATACTGCGGATAAAGTATCAGGGCAAAGTGATTCAGGGTATTCAGAAGAATAGACTAGTTTTGGTGAAGTAAACCATAATAATACAGCAAAATATGTTTTCCACAACCAACACCAAGTCATTCAAAGTAAAAAAGGAGACAAAAGACTAATTCTGGATGAAATTGATTTGTGCTTTCGTTTATACGTGGACTAGTAGGCCGAAACGAGACTTATCTCAATTTCTGTCTGTCTGTCTGTTTGTGCACTCTGTCATTCCGTCTGTGACGCCAAAATGTCATTTTACGCTACCTACTCCTAGAAAACTAGAGTACCGATTATGGTTCTAATAATTTTTCTGTATTTACTGGATTGTTGAGAGTGTCTTGCTAGAAATATGTACCGATTATCGTTTAGAGATGACGTAATCTTTTAAATAAGAAACCTTTGTTTGGATAAAGGTGGTTTCTTCAAACTGTCATTAATATGTTAACATTAAAAGTTGCTTACAAATAATGCTATTAATGGGAATAACTTTGATTTTCGAAATAAAAAAAAACAAATTTTAAACCAAGGGAGATTAATAGCTTTGGTACTGCACCACATCAAGTGAAAGTTTTTTTTGAGCAAACCATAGTGAGTTTTTAAAGCTTTACGTTGTTAACGTTACATGTTTTATGTTTTGTGGCCTGTGTATATTTATTTATATTTTTGCCAACGGATTAAAACCTATAATAAAGTTTGATTAGAAGGACAGTTTGAATTTGTCGTAAGTACTGTAGTTCTTTTCTTAAATGTAAACGTTGATTTTTGGTACTGCTACTTTCTTTAGAACCGGTGGTAGCAGTAAGAATAATTTTTACGTACAAACACATCACTATTTACAACTAAAGCTATCGTTAGTGCTGCACCTTATTTCTAATTAAATTTAATTGATGTCTTACTGTATAATCTTTTGCGTTTTCTGTCTGGACTCCAAAATGTTAGTTTATGCTATGAAAATGATAAAACAACGAAAGATTTTTTTCAAACCATCATGAATTTTTTAAGCTTGGCGTTGTTAACGTATAAATGTTTTGTGGGCTGTGTATTTATTTACTTATTTATATATTTGCCAACGGATTTACACCAATTTTACAGTTTGATTAGGCCTAAAAACGATTATCATAAAATTTGATGTCACTACCAAAACTTTCAAATAATTATTTTGTTTGTAACTTGCTTTGGTTAAAGAATAGAAAATCCCCTAATTCAATTCTGTATTTGTGTGTGTGTCTGTTAGTAAAGCATTAATGTCCTTATTTCTCAGTGTTTCGTGGAAAAGACAAGAGCACCTTTGTTAATGAAAATTTCAACCCGAATAAAGTGTGCAGTAGTGCAAACATACAATTACAGGCCTACCTTAGGGCTATGTCTCATAGATCTATAAAGCAATTCCTTTTATCATTAGATATAAAATATGGACTAACAAGTCGGGTGTCATTTAATTACGAAGCATTCGTTTTGGCTTTGAAACTGTCAGATATTGTTTTTGCGAAGGTGTTTATATGTATTCCTTTACAGTAATAGTTTTGCCAGCATATCTGGAAAAATGCACACTAAATATGCAAACCAACTCCTGTTCTGAATATAAGGTTTCAACTTACTACAAGATTCCCGTACAGACGGTGACACACTATCGATCTTTTCCCCGAACAAGACCCCGAACCGAGCAGGGAGAAGGGAGAAGGGAGGTCGAAGGGAGGATGTTCGATAGTGTGTCACGGGTCCGTACACCGATCAAGACATCAGGCCGAGCAGGAAGACGAGCGCTCTGGAGGCGGTTTTTTGGCGAAAGATCAAAGAAAAGATCGGTCCGATGTACGGTCCGATGTACGATAGTGTGTCACGGTACATTTTTGCCCCGTACATCGTCGCGAGCGCCGCACCGAGCGGCCGCCTGCACTAGCATCGATAGTTCTGATTTAATATGGAAATTAAACTCTTTAATTGGTAAAATAAATAAATGTTGGGTAATATGTTGCCGTTATATATTATAATCATTTAAGATGTAATGTTTGTGGTTTTTTTGGTCAAGGTTGAAAGTGTAGAAACCGTTAAATCAATTATATCAATAATATTAAGGTTGAATTAAGTAATTGATGTTGACTTAAATTCTTTCAAAAATAATATAAACATTAATATTATTAAAGGCAATTAAAATGATCATTCTGTAACGTTATTTCAATGAATAAAACCAATAGAAATCAATTAGATATAACTAAGCATCCTTTCTAGAATATTTTATTTTTGCGACAAGTTTTCAAAATGCGACTTTTAACAATAATTTTTATGTTATAGAAACTTTTTGGCTTTGGTCAATGCACCCCCCTCCCTCTTCCACGGCACTGCCTCCGCGCTCTCACTCGCACACATTCTCTATCTCTCTCCAAACTTCCTTTTACCGCGCTCGGTAGAATTCGTCTGGTCTTGGTAATGTTCGGGGAAATGTTCGGAGTAAAATTTTGCTGATATTTATCTCCCTTCTCCCTTCTCCCTGCTCGGTTCGGGGTCTTGATCGGGGAAAAGATCGATAGTGTGTCACCGCCTTACGTAGAACGGGCAAACAGCTAGTGTAAAATATAAAAAACGTGTTCGATTCTTAGGTTAAAATTTCCATAAAAATCAATTGAAATTGCGGTAAAACGTAAATAATAAAAGCAAAAATTAGTTTGTTATAAATAAAACGTGAGTTTCCTTTAAATTGCTCATACAATAGAAATAAACTATTACGAGCCATGGCTTGGTCCCCCGGAAATAATGATAATACAATTACCTAACAAAAGAAACATATTCTTAGTAACATTAGACGTAAAACCGATGAAAAAATAGTGTTTTACTATTTTATTTTTGAATATATTGAGCTCAGCGAATCAACTGGACGATTGTTATGTTATGAAGCAACTATACCACGTAATCTTTATGTCAAATTCAATTACGTCAATAAAATTTAATTAACTGTAATAGTAAGACGATCCGTTGTCTGCTATAGGCCATTTGGTGTCCTTGTTAACATCGACAACGTCCTGTGTTTGACGACTACGCTAGCGCTACTAACATGTATCATCCTAACTAAGGCGCGCAATAGTTCGTCTAGTGACCACTAGGTGTCACTGAGCCTAAATTTAGAGAGGTGTATTTATATTAACAAATAACCTCAAATTATCGGATACAAGAAATAAATTCAGCTTAAACTAAAACAAACTACCATTTATAGAAGACAAGTTAATGGAAATTTTCTCGATTTAAAGCCGGGGTTGTTTACTATGAGTCATCTGTATCCGTTGATACTCGCAGTGATTTTTGAGAAGCTACTTGACTACACCGCTTATAAGCAATTTACTTGTAAGATAAAAATTCACCAAGATAACTTTATAATAATATTATTTAAAAAGCCGAGAGTCGTGTCTCTTACCTGAGACCGATGATTGGCTTAAAATCAAATACTGAGGTTCACCCTGCCTATAACCGTATAGTGTCCGCTTATGTACAATACTCATAACGTTCAAATATATATACTTCCTCTTTTATATATATCTATCTATCTATCTATATATTAATAGGCAAGCATGTTTCTGTAAAACCTTTTTTCTCAGCTCGTGTGCATCGTAGGGAAAATCTACGCATACCGTTGGAAAGCTATTTTCCTGTAGGTGTGCAGAATCCCTTTATAAATTTAAATAGGCTCAAAGATAAGCACAAAAAATGAGTTTAAAAATTTGAAAAAATTAACATGGATCTTATGCGTTGCTATGCTGGTTACGAAATAACAACGAAATATAAACAGAAAATCAAAACAAATGAAAGAAACTCCAATCACATGTTTTATTTACAGTGTGGGGTGAAAATAGATAAGTGAGTACATTACATATTTTTGGTCGAGTTTCGACCACTGGACGACCTCTCGTATACAGGGTGAGTTTTAATTGTCCCCCCCCCAACTTTTTTCTACATTTTTTCAAATATCAATCCCAGACCACTTCCAAACATTGTTGGGTAGTAAGTACTTCATTTTGACAAGGTGGTCATTTCCGGCCGCCATCTTGGATCCGCCATATTGGATGCAACATTTTTTTTTTCAAATGTAAAGGTGGGGTTGTGACCCATTATTTCGAACTACATTTTTACCCTGATTACAATGCCGCAAACCGTTTTTAAAAATCTTGATTCATTCTAAAGTTACGAGGGCTTTTTAAAGCTTTATTTTTAGCCCATTTTAACATTGTGCATTTACAAACTAAGACCATAATCCCAAAATAGTGCTAGATAATGATAAGTATACACTACCAGTAATTGTCCACCTATTTTCACTTGATTATGACTGATGTATTTTTTTCGGCCGCCATCTTGGATCCGCCATTTTGAAATGTGATAAATTATTTTAAATATGAAGGGGGTGTTGTGACCCATCATTTTGAACTACTTTTTTAAGCTAAACTCAATGCCGCAATCCATTTTTTGTTATCAAGTTTTATTTATGAAATATTGAAATTTTTTTGTTAAAAATGTCAATATTTCAAAATCAAAAAATGAAAATAAAAAACGGATTATGGAATTAAGTTCAGCTTAAAAAAGTAGTTCGAAATGATGGGTCACAACACCCCCTTCATATTTAAAATAATATATCACATTTCAAAATGGCGGATCCAAGATGGCGGCCGAAAAAAATACATCAGTCATAATCAAGTGAAAATAGGTGGACAATTACTGGTAGTGTATACTTATCATTATCTAGCACTATTTGGGATTATGGTCTTAGTTTGTAAATGCACAATGTTAAAATGGGCTAAAAATAAAGCTTTAAAAAGCCCTCGTAACTTTAGAATGAATCAAGATTTTTAAAAACGGTTTGCGGCATTGTAATAAGGGTAAAAATGTAGTTCGAAATAATGGGTCACAACCCCACCTTTACATTTGAAAAAAAAATGTTGCATCCAATATGGCGGATCCAAGATGGCGGCCGGAAATGACCACCTTGTCAAAATGAAGTACTTACTACCCAACAATGTTTGGAAGTGGTTTGGGATTGATATTTGAAAAAATGTAGAAAAAAGTTGGGGGGGGGGGACAATTAAAACTCACCCTGTATATAAATTATTGTGATAATCCATCACATACACATTACTGAACTGACTACACTTATAATATTCAGTATTGCCACACAGCTGTCACGAATAATTAAACATAACTTTTAATATTTTTAATAGATACTAGCTGTTAGTTGTACCCGTGCTTCGCAACGGAGATGACACTGAATCAAAAAATTTGATTTTGAATTACGTTATATAAAATAGTTACACATTCCCCTTTTTTGGGTTTATTGGGTTATTGGGTCCCCTTTATAATTGGTTTCAGGAACACAACACAACTGAAACTCTTTGTTTGAATAATACATTTCTTTAAGGCTAGGCTAACTTATTAAGGTAGGCTAACTACCTAGTACAAATTATTCGAAACGAGTTTGCGAACCAGCATGATCGGACCATGGGAACGGAGGTTTATGGGGGGTTTTATGGGGTAAAAATGGGTTGCTCGCCTACGGCTCGTGAGTAAGGATTTTTCTCGAGTGAGGCGATTGCACTTTGCACTCGAGTTGCACATTATATTTTTCCTACAGTTACCATAAAACAAATAAATTGGTAAAGAAACGTGCCTTCACGTTGCAAATCTGGAGTGAGACAAAGTAATTAAAGTGAGACAATGTTAACATATAGTATCTCACTGATAAGCGAGTTGGCCACTTTGCTTTCCCAAATCAGTGATAGAACATGTACATTCTTAGGTAACTGTAGTACTGTAAAAGCAATATTACACCTGGGGCCCATTTCATAATAAAGTACAAACTAATATTATTAGTAAATCAGCTGATCGCCCAATGCAAATCTTAGGCCGGGGCCACACGACGCGGATCATCCGCGCGGACGGACCACGCGGATGATCCGCGTGGTGCGACAACACATTGAATCAAATGAGAGTGGCCACACGGGGCGATCCTAAGCCGCCTGGGCGGATTGTCCGCGCCATGTCGTGGATTGTCCGCGCGATCATAAGCCGCGTTGGAGGGGATGACACATGTAGTCTTATGAGAGTGGCCACACGATACGGATTGTCCGCGCGGTTGGAGCTCATTTTCAAGCATTTGTAGTGATTTTTTTAAGTTTGTGCTTGTGCATTTCGGTTTATATTTGTAAAATGTTCAATACAGACAAATCAATAGAACTTGTTAAAGATAATGTGGGATTTCTCATGTTGTACATTTCTCATGAGTATATCTTCCTTAGTTATATGCGGTCAAAGCAATTGAAGTAGCTCGTCAGACGGTGCTATCTACATGCGATAGTAACAAAAAAAGACTCCGAACTATGGTTTCGCATGTGCTCGTAAAAGGTTTGGAACACAAATGGTTTATCGGTTATGAAATGATGGACCCAATGATTTCGGTTCGCCTTAGGCTCTAGCTCACCACACGCTTCTAATGCACAAACTAACATACGAGTTTCTTCCATGACTACAACGAGAACGAGTGAATTAAACCATGTTAGAATCTCAGTACGTAGGCTGGGAAACCTCAACCGGAAGCGGTTCATCCGCTCCGTGTGGCCGGGACATCGTCGCGCGGCTTATGATCGTACGATCATAAGCCGCGCGGACGATCCGCCACGTGTGGCCCCGGCCTTATGGAAATTACAAGTTACAAGTTGTAACTTGTAACTTGTAGTTTATTATGAAATGGGCCCCTGGTTGTCGTTCAGTATTAAAATATTTCTATCTATACGTAATAGGGAAAATAATTTCATGCCACTTTCAATCATCACTATTTAATTCAGTTAATAAATTTACCAAAATTAATTTTTAATCGATAAACAATGTTTATGTTTTGTAAAGTAAAAATAACAACACATTTTCCATAGCCTATAAACATATTATGTTGTTGAATCATATCCCATTAAATAAAATGTCTAATTTTAAAATGTTTCATTGTTAATATTGGTACTGTTAGTGGAAGCAGTTTTATTAGAGTGAACATTTTTTGAACTAACAAAAAAAATCCAAATCAATTTGAACAGGGTGCACTATTAATTGTTTAAATGTATGACAACAGCTAATTTGTACCAAGCAGAATCAAAAAGCTGTAATACATGGAATGGATGAAATTTTTTACAGTTATGTTTATGTAGCCAGTTAATACTAATAGTAAATTGAAAAGTCAATCTACATACAGCAGATCTAGCTAGGGAACATAATAATTGTTCTCTTTAGCGTTCTTAAGCTGCTTGCCATTATTTTCAAGGAACCAAAATTGTCTCTTCTGCATCTTGACCCCGTTGCAAGGCACGCGTATAGCGGCTAGTATTAAATATTTTCTAATAAACAAAATCTAAATTAATAACAATAAAAACGTTTTAAAATAAATTTCATTTGTTATTCATTTTGATTTTCTTCTTGATATAAACTTGATGTGTTAAAAAATCACAGGCTGAAGTCATAAAGTTTATTTTTATTTACTTAACTTTAAATGATGTTAATGCACAGAGTTAGAAGAAATCACATGTAAAAGACTTATATACAAATATAAATTACAAATAGCACAAATATAATTGAAAAGTCATAAGTTTGTCAGTTATTGTAAAACTTACAATATTGCTTCTCAATCCTCTATTCCATGGCGGTGTGAATCTTCATCCAGTTGTTCAAACACATTTTCAGTAGAGTTCTTTTGGCCAATCCCATTCCCATTCATGTTTTCCAACTCTTTCAGCTGATCCTTAATTGACTTCTCAACATCTATTTCGTCCAAAATTTCTTGAACTTTGATCTTCAGCGGTTCCTCAATTGCAAGCATTATCTGGTAGCGCAACAAGTTGGGGAGAATGTTCACGACAGCTTCTATAACATAGTCTAACGTCCCAGCTCCGTCGAATTGTAACTGAAAGTTTCCAAGGGTGATCTGTAGTTCTTCTAGTTTCGGTCTGTTACGCACGTCCAATGTTTGATTGAGTTTCACATCCACTTCGATGTACTCTATGGTGAACTGAAGTTTCCCTGTGGTGCTCAAAAGTCCAGCCATTGTAACCTCCCAGTGGCACTTTCCTTCTAGTTGCTGTGTCCCAGCAGCGACTGCGACGTGAACCGTGTTATTCTCCATGGAAACAGTTATGTTCCCGATTCTGTGAAAACTAGCCAACCCCGTAATCCATATGTGGGTCACGTCCAACCCCAGAACACCAGTTGTGTGAACAAAATCATCAACCTTAAACGGATCATAACCCATCTGACGCACTAGTTTTCTTCCTTCAGCAAAACCGACATCAAGCGGCGACAAAGAGTTGGGAAAGGTTTTCTTCAAGTTTCGTAAATTTTTGTTAACATCTCCCAGAATGTTTGTGTTCACTTGTTTCATTATGTAAGGTTTCATCGCATCAAAGACTAGAGTACCGACAGTATTCATGGCTCCTTGCACAAAAGAACCAAGCATTCCTGGATTTTCGAGATCAACATTTATGACCTTCACAGAGAGATCTAAGTCTATGTCTGTAGCTTCTAGGTGTCCTTCCCTCGCTACCTCAAGCTTAGCCACTCCTTCTGCATAAAGTTCCTCTAGAGTAGTATTGGAGGCTCCTTCAGTTGAAGTGAACCAGGTCCTGAAAGTGTAGTTGCCCAGAACTTGAATAACTCCTACCCGTAGTGCTATATACATCTGCAAAAAACAGGCATATATTTTTAAATCTTCAAACATATATGTCTGAAGATTTAAATTAAAAATAAACTGAATCAAGCTGAAGATGATCATTTAGAGTGAGCTAACCTACTGAATTTGTTGCCAGTTTTAAAGTAAAAACTAACTTTTGGATTTTGATTGACAGAATGGGCTGATATTAAGTGCTGATATTGAATTCAACAATTTTCCAACCTAGCCAAACTGATAGGACAACTTAAGGTAAGCCACAGAATCTTATACAACTATAAAAGTAACAAAACAAAGGGGAAATATAATGTTAGACTAGGAAGCTCTGTAAGCGGCCCATTTACTGTGTATCACAGTGAAATTGGCTACAGCAGCTGGTCCAAGTAAATGACTTCAGTATCCAAAAGTCAATCCTGGATAAGGCTTGTGAAAGGGTTTCGTAAATTATTAACTGTACAATTTGCAATTTAGGTACCATCTGGGTTTAGTCCAGTCCCACCTGAATTTCCCAGGTGTAGCTGCTATTCACATTTACGTAAAACTGATGTTATTGAGCACACTCCTTACCCTATAGCTGCATGTCACCTATTGCTGTTGTCAGAACTGTTTGCCTTTGCGCAGAAGTTTCTCAGGTTTTATTGGGCGAGAACTGATTGTCTATCAAGCTATGGGCAGTTTTCAATAGAACGATTACAGTTTGATCATGGGTAGACAATATCTTTTCCCAAGTCAATGCCATTACCTCTAAATCAGCCAAGTTAGAATAGACAGATTCTATCTTGAACTTCGACAGTCCATAGACCATCTGGTTCTTCATAATCATCGTCCCTAAGGCAAGTCCAGTCTTGATCTCTGGAATGGGCATTGGATCCGGAATAGGGACTCCTGGCATTCCTACAGGATCCTGAAATCAGATTTGTTTCACGCCTTGTATTTTTTCATTAAACATGATCTAACAATACCTACATCTCATAATATGACATATCTCTTCATATTTCTCATAAAGTATAAAGACACTTAAAGAGAAAATGTTGTGGTTATAGTATATTTTAAAATTGTGTAAAGAAACTAAAAGGGTTTGTCTAAAGTTAATTCGCAACTCTGTAATTGATATTGTTTGAGTCTTGGCTTTTAAACTGTTTACATTAAACTTGAAGTGGCAATCTATATATTAATAAATATTGGTTTTTCTTTTCCGAGTCAGTTCTGTTATTCTACCTAGTTTTCATAATTCTTTGAACTAAGAACCTTCAATGAAATACCAGCATTGATTTGAGATATTGATTGTTAAGATTGGACGTACCCGATGCATGCTACTGGCTGAATTACGAATAAAAAATAGTTATAATTATTTTCTTTAGGACTTGTCTGCAATCAATGATACATAACTCCATTTTTATATTAGTAATTTTATATGTATTGGTCTTATAATACTCTTAGAAATAAAGGCTTTCATTGAAGTATTGATCTTTGAATCAGTTAAGTTCAAGCATAGACAAATAGAATAAATATAGACTGTCAATGGAAGGTTCCAGCGCCCGCTGCTAGGGTTTGCCGTGTAGTTACGGCGCACACCGCTGGAGGGAGCGCAGGAGCCTTATGCGACCAGCAAATGCTGCAGCGGTGTGCGCCGTAACTAAACGGCAAACCTAGCGGTGGACGCCAAAACTTCTGCTAACCGCAGCACAGCTGACGGTCTATATCTATTCTATTTGTCTATGGTTCAAGGTAATGTTAAAAAAAAACATATGTACTAAAAGATATATTTTATTACCATTGTTGTTAATTTTTTTAAACCGGGGAATGTCGGGTTTTGCTGCTGGTGATACTTTAAATAAAGTGAGACTCAAATGGTTTTGTTCTTAAGCCATCAAATGTTTGATGTGAGCACTATTCATCATAGGATACAAATCAAGCCTGTGTATGTTTAATCATTGACTAGGTGTATAGTCAATGGTTTAATCTATGGTTATATCCTTCCAAACATTAATTGGTACATGTCTCTTATTGTTAAAACAGCTCAGTCCAGTTTTCAATATTTAGGAAGTTCAGGTGAAAAACAAGTAAAGGGAGATATAGAGCAGATAGGAGTAACAGAGGAAGATGCAGAAGTTTGAGGGAGGTGGAGGGGCTCAAATATCTCCTTAGATATGCCTGGCCCTTGGAGTAAGGTAGTATAGGAGGGTCGGGGGTAATTGACCCTACCATATTGCATATTAATGGTCACACAAACAATTATTTTTATAATACCAAAGTTAATAAAGGGTATCAACAATCTGACACATACTTTCTCCAATTACCTGGCTTGCCAACATTATCATGGGTAAGCGGTGGGAGTAACTATGATATTTTATGATAAAAATCACAAAAGTTGCAATAAGCTTTTAACTGTAATTGTTATAGCAATGGGGGTTGGACCATTTTGTTCAGAGTTAATAGGACTACTTATACTAAATTTTAGTCAGAACCGTTCAAGCTCTTTTTGTGATATTTGAATTTTTCTGTTAATTTTTGTTTGTCTTAATTACCAATCACTATTATGGAGCACCTTAAAAAAAACACATTATATGAGTTTCTACAGTACCCACCCATTGCAGCTACCAAAAGATATGACAGGTTCAAACAGGCACATTGCGCTTTTTACAATATATGTTGGAAACATGGAGAGGTTAATTAAAGTTATGTTTTAAGAAGAGTCTAAATTTTGTTAAAATACCTGCACAGTAGTTGTTTATTAAACTGTATTATGGATGGATGTATGTATGGTATGTGTTTTACCTACCCTGTATATTTATAGCTGGTAGGTAGTAGTATGGCAAAAAATATTATACACAACGCACCCAAGAATCTGTTAACGACACTCAAATGAAATCCAAACCATCATGCTTGTAAACATTGCAACTTATAGCTTTATAGTGTAATAATGTTCCTGTATTTAGTAAAACCCTGTACAATATTTACCTTCTGTTTGAAATGCTCCAGTACAGCCACCACTTGTTCACTGAGCCGGTTAACTCTGACCTCTGCATCAGGTACCTCCTCCGATGTGCCTAAACATTTACAACATATTTGTAAAATATGATAAATTCTAGTCATTTGTCATGCTGAGTCTTTTGTAGTGTTGTATCAACCGGTAAGTTATCTTCCTTTCGCTACAGTCTTATAGGACGCAGTGGTGTAGTAGTGTAGCAGGCACGCTGCATTTCCCGAAAGTCCATTATATCAACATTCGAACCCTGTTTTTCTTAGAAGATTGTGAGAGTTCCTACACTGTCCAGTGGCCACACTACTGATAGAAGATGTTGCTTGTGCATCCAATAATCTAGGTTTTTAAATATCCGCATGAGGTCCAATGATGAGATATTGATCTCATTGATCTCATATTGACCTCAACTATACAAAATGTTCTTTTTGTAATTTGTTGTAATAAATTCTTGATTCTTGATTCTTGATTCTTGATCTGGACAATTGGAGTTCTACTGTATATGGTACAAATACAGTCTCTATTAGGTTTTAACTTTGACTACTGTTACAACTATTCCAATCCCATGTTAGAATTGTCCCCAGTTTAATAAAAGTCATCGTGGGTTATGTAAACCACCGACAGATTGTGCTGATCTAAATTACTAAATTACTGACAAATACACAATTTTGTTAATTCTAAGTAAAACTGATGGAACGACTTATTGTGAGCAATAGGTAGCAACTGTTAAGACCCATAAACTTTTATTTGATAGAAATCAAAATTAGGTAGGAAATAGAATTTCATACATCTGTGACTGGCTCACACAACTACTGTATGTTAAAAAAGTTGGTGACAGCTGATCCATAAGATGGGAGGTCTACTTCAGTATCCACTAGTCAATGGTTTTATGTAAACACTAGCTGTAACCCGCGGGCTTTGCCCCGTTTCACTTCTTAATTTTCAAGATGATCTCGTTCGCATGGCTCAATCATGTCCTGGTTGAAGTTCGTTCGCTACGCTCACTCACCTTTAGGTTGGAGCTCGTTCGCTACGCTCACTCATCTTTAGGTTAGAGCTCGTTCGCTGCGCTCACTTGCCTTCAGGTTAGCTCGTTCGCTACGCTCACTCGCCTTGAGGTTGAAGTTCGTTCGCTACGCTCACTCACCTTTTGGTTACAAATTAGCTGTTGCCATAAATGTAAAAGAAATAATGGTGCTGCACCCTGTTGGTAATCCTTGTAACTTTAATGCTATTGAACATCATAGAACAGAACCAACTTGTTTAATTGAAACAGCTGTTAAGATTCATTAATTCCATTTAAATATAAGTACTCATAAGATTAACATGGGAAATTCCAGAGCCACTGGGGCGGAGCCCGAGAGTCCGATCAGAATAAAAACCACTTAGTTTTCCTATTTAATGCCTAAAGAATCAGTGTACCAAATTTCAGCCTCCTAGGTAAATGGGAAGTGGGAGAATTAGTGATGAGTGAGTGAGTGAGTGAGTGAGTCAGTCAGTGAGGGCTTTGCCTTTTATATATATAGATATTGACTTATATTTGATGTATAATCCTTGAAGCATACAAACATGTACGAGGTTTCAAACTAGACTATATTTTAAAACAATTAATGTGTGTACATACATCTTACTACATAAACAATTATTAGTAGCCAGTAACATACTGAAAAAGCCAAAGTTGACGCTTTATGCCTACCTCTCTTATTTTCCATTTATACTCAAGTTTGGAATCAGGGCTCATGAGAAAATAATTCTGAGGCGACTGTTTAAGACGTTATACCAATGGTTGAAACTAATTGAACATCTATTCAGTATGTATCCGTTTAAAAGATTTGGTAGGATTAAATTAAATATTCAAAACCTCTAGCTATCTATACTATTTAAATATATGTTATATGTTTATGCCATAAACATACCTTAGAATAGTTTTCAGTTGATCAATAAGGATGATACATATTTAAGGAAGGGTAATAAACATGTGATTTTAGTTTAAGAAGGGTTTCATGTTCATAGATAACAAGATATCAACCAAGTATATCAACTTAACCACACCAAAATATAAAGGATCAATGGGAAATTGTAGCTTATCTATAAGGATGGGATAAATTCATTAGGGAGTATATTATCTTTGACTATTAATAAACACAGTAACTTCAGCTAATATTTAATTTTTATTAATATTTAACTTCAACTTCAGTAGGTATCTAATAGTCAATCATATTATTGAATTGATGAAAGAGGAATAACAGTTTGAGGTTATGTTTTACCATTTCATGAACAATCAAATAATAGTGAACTAAATATGAAAAATAAGGATTTTTTCCCTTTGTTGCCACTTATTATAACTGTATCTAGCAATAAAAATAATTGTTAAATTCTCTTGAGTTAAATATTAAACCTAATGTTACAGTACTTACACCTTCCAATAAACAGCAAAAGAGCACTCCAAACCAGGAATATATGTTTTAATATTTTAATATCCATAACTTTTTTTTTCACATCAATCGGTTAACACTGTGGATATTTTATAATTTTCAAACACTTGTAAGACGTATTAACAAGATCCATTGCTGACCACCAACTAATATTTTGACTTGAACTTTGACCTGAAACTGATTAGGACCAAGATAAAAATACTCATGTGTACACAAAAATCCCATTCACTGATATGCTTTTAAACTCAGTTTTGTGTTCAAAGAAATTAAATTTAATTAAATGTGAATCTGTCAAAGGCAAACAAACTTAAAAGGTTGTCAAAAGTATTTTGTCGAAATGATAAAATAAAACAGCTGTAGGATGTAATACTATTTTGTTTTACAGCTGTTTTTATTTACAAAGGAATTTCTGTAGCATAAAAATAAGTGAGACCAAGGTAGACATCCGATCTTAGGTGGTTTAAGCCCCCCACACACTACCAGACCAGACCTCCAGACCAGACCGTCTGGCTGCAACCAGACCGTCTTGGACGGCTCTACACACTCCCAGACCAGACGGTCTAACATTCGTAATTGAGAGACCGTGGTGAGAACTCCGACAAATGGATGTAGATTGTCCCGATGGTCGGCCGTCTGACAGACAGCGCTACACACTCACAGACCAGACAAAAATAGTGGTGGGGGAACCTCAGACCGTCTGTGGTCTGAGGGTTCAACCATCAGACACGCAGACAGTCTGGTCCGAGAAAATCGGTCTGCAGACAGCCCCACACACGATAAGACAAGTGCCAGACGCCAGACCAGACGGTCTGGTCTGGAGGTCTGGTCTGGTAGTGTGTGGGGGGCTTTAAGGGGTGGGTTTCTGGGTTACCAAACCACTTTTTTTGTTAATCTATATATCAGTTGTCAGCTGCTGTTTAAAAGTTAGGGTAAGGTGGAGGAATGGAATGAATTGTTTCGTCTTTACATTTTGTGAACGGGGTTTAGTTGCAACTATTTGTTATTCAGATAGAACTTAGTGGAATGTGTTACCATCAGAATAACTTACTGCCAAAATTTGTTAAAAATGTATCCTCACTCTTAGTTTTTAGATGCAAAGTATTTACTTGATACTAGCCGCTATACCCGTGTTTCTCAACTAGAATTAGCATACACTTCTACCATTGATTTTCGAAACAAAACTCAATATTACCATTAAGTTTGATAAATATCTTTTTCTTTTAATTTAGGTAACAGTACTGTCAAGTAACAAATCCTAGCATTGTAAGGATTCTATTTATTATTTAATTCTCTATGTATGTACCATTGTTTCTTCCACATGGGTACAAAACATTATCTTCAAAACACACATTATCTCCAAAATATTTTTTGTAACATATATTTTTATGATTAATAATGGTTGCTTTTTTCACAGAATTAAAAAAAATAACAACAAAATAACAAGAATAACATTATTGTAACGCTAAATTTTAAGGTACCCCATAACATGAATGAATTTAGAATAAGTTGAATAAGTTAATTGTCTCACTTCCAACAGATCTTGAAGAAGCCTTCGGCGTAACCTGCTATATTCTGTTGTTTAGCCAAGATTATTGAAAACCAGTGCTCCAGGAACATTGTTTATAGAATTTAGAATTTGAAAGGTGCATTTTGGTCTAGGTAAACTTTACTCCAAGCTATTCATGTATAATGTTTGTTTTCAAGGAAACATCGAGCATTAACTGCTATTTTAAAAATTTTATTTGGAATCTTTTGACTTTTGAATGGTTTGTTTTTTGAAATAGTTAATCCTCATAGGAGATGCATATTATTTATAACTGCCAAATTATTGATTAATAGATTAAAACTGCCCAACGAAGCTGATTTTAGAGTCCATTTTCTTGTGAAAAAAAAAAATACCTAAGCACTATTTAAAAAAAACCATTTTGGATCTTACCTCATAAAAGGAGTGCATAATTTCCTACAAGGAGGACCAAGATAGGCGATTGAATGGTTGTAAACTACAAAGTGGGTTTAGAGTGCTGGAGGGGGGTCTAGTCAATTACTATATCATTCAGTTCATTGATAAATAAACTGTTCCCCCTCCTCTTTGTCCACTACATCCAGCCTGTTTAGGCGCACAACACTTATGGATATTCTATATTCATTTGGATTTCAATTAATGATACCAAAATTGTTGTCGAACAAAAGGTTAATTGCCTTCAGATAGTAACAAGACTAAGATGTGAACTGTTTCACTACAAGAAATGTTAAACAAAATGCTAATGGTGTAGCTACACCCAAAAATAAAATATATCCACAAAACATTGGAAACTGGTTATGTGTAGGTAGGGAAGTTTAACCATAAAACCACTATGTTCAGTTGTGATAGAAAATATTCCCAGCTGATGTTTAACATATTGTTTAAATACATTGTTGGCTTTAAAAATACTCAGCAAATACCACAATTTTAAAGCTACTTCTGTAGAGGAAAATACCCCCGCCGCAGAAAACCTGCCAAATAAGCAAATTTCCATTTGTCTGAATTGATTTTCAGTTAAATATATTTTAATAACATTAGGTTTAACGAGTACCTAGGTTTGCTGCTACAAGGAAACTAATAAAGTGTGTTTTTGAGTAAAATATTGATAGCTTAGTAAAAAATAAATAAATTTGCCAAGTTTGATCAAAATATATCCATAAACAAGCAAATTACAACATTTGACAATATTCTCTATAAGAATAACATAAAAATTTTAAATTTACAATTTTTTAAATTTTCTTTGTTACTAATAATCGAACAAAAATACTTTTATATACTAAATTATTTGTTCTTTTAAGCTCTTTAAAAAGGTCTAAAGAGAAATCGGGAAATTTTGTGTTTTGAGGGTCAAAAGTGAGAAAAACCAATTTTTACCCCATAAAACATTTTGTGAAGCCCCGTTCCCATGGTCCGATCGTGCTGGTTCCCGAACTCATTCAAGTTTATCCCGCTTTACACCTTTAAACCAAGTTTCATCAAAATCGGACAAAAATTACTCAAGTTATCGCGTTCACGGAATTATATAATCTATATATCGTCTATATATATATACATATATAAAAATTTGAACGAATGGTGTTTTTGGCCTCTGGGGACATCAAAATGAAAAAAGTAAATCGGTCCCGGGTCTAGGCCTTACCGTGCCACCTACGGTAATAGCTACTTCCCTATAGGGAAATTCGCTAAAAGAGATCTGCATTAGAGACTGCATTTGTAAATGGCCTGATTGTTCCACACATTCACCTGAGAATAGAACATTTTAAGCTGCTTTTTCAAGATGCTTATGAACAGGCCTGTTGCTTAGAAAGTAAACAATAACAAGTGCTTCTATATCAAACCGACTCATATCTCAACTCAGTTTTATAACAGGGAAACTTAAGCATTCACGAGATGAAGGAACGAATAAACCAGCTATAACTATAGCTATAGTTATTATAACTATTACTGCTACTTCTGGGAGTAAAGATCAATGTTTCTTCTGTGCATTCAATAGACATCCAAGAAACTACTGTCCTGCCAGAAATTCTTGCAATAAAGGTTGTGGTAAAAAAGGTCACTTGATTATGGTTAAGTCTTCCTCTATAAATCAAGTTTGTGTCCAAACTCCTAAATTAATCATGCAACTTCATCAGGTAAAGCGACATAAGTTGTTCTCAACTTCTCGGAGAAAACGATATTGTTTTTGTTCCAAATATTGGACATATCTAAAGATATAAAACTGAAGTCTAGCCTTTTTTTCAGTTACGGTTTACAAAATTTTGACAGGAATAGATCAAATATTGAAAACATATAGCTATTTATACTATTTAAAAACATCTATCTTGCAAACTAAATGTCATTAAAATATTATAAATAGTTTGTGTTTAAGTACCGTATTTGAAACTGAATCCCAACCTAAAAGTTTGAATGTACCACCTGTACCACATTGTGGCCTGCACTTCAGCATAGACTAACGGACCGGAAAACCAAAGAAAAAGGGTTATAACTCAGAAAACCAAAATATAAACTAACAATATTCAACAATTTATTTTCACAAACGATTATATACATTTTGATTAACAAAAATAGAATCTTTGTATAAGTAACAGTATGAATCTCAAAATTTACAATTAGGCTAAAGATATAATTCCCAAACATCAAACAATGTAAAGATGCACATGACAAAGATATTATATGTAAAAACAATCATTAAAATTATAAGCAATATTTTTACTTACAGTAGATATTTAAAAAAGCATATGGGTAGTAAATGTTTAAATAGAACCTCATATTTGTATCATAAATATTTCTTAAAATATTATATTGCTATGCAAAGAGATACATATTACAAAATTATACAAAAACAGTCTATTAGGAAATCACTCAAAATGGAGTGATAAAATGATAAAATTGAGCACCTAGTCAGTGGATTTCCATTACTTAAGTACAACACCGGTTAAAAATAGTTTTTATACAGTGTTCCATTTCGTCAGCATTCTTTGTAGAAGTTTTCAATGACATCTGCATATTTGTCGTAAACCACGTTTCTCTTCAGTTTAAGCGTTGGTCCTGAAAAAATATTTTATTTTTACTAAAAGCACTATAAAAGTAAAGAATAACAATAATCTAAAACATAATTTTGCTGGTTTACATCTTGAACTTTGGTGTGACGAGTGTGGTCTTGTCATTAAGTCTCAATAGATACATATGATTATAGCAATAATCGATATAGTGTATCGACACTTCAAGACCCCTAAATATATTTGGACCAATTGTGAAATATAAAATTATGATAATAGTAATTAGGTACCACAACATCTTCCATTTAAACAGTAGTTCGGTATGGATTAAACATACTCCCTTTTAGTAGATTTGTCATCCTTATGGATTAGCTGAAGACTATTTTATTGTTAGCTCAGACCAGTTCCACCAGGATCAGTTTTTTGTTTACAATTTATTTCTTGTTAATTTAAAATCTTGTTAACCAAATAAAACAATCTAAACAATAACTCATCTCTAGTTAATCTTGTAAAAAGTCTACTTGTGTTAGTTAGTCTAAGGTACAATATTCTGTATTGCTTCATAAAAAACTCAAGCGACCATTTTACAAAGAAATATGAAATATGACACCTGCAATAGATTATACCTAACTAACTACTGTATGAGTAAAAAAGGTGAAAATTGACCACTGTGCAAAAGCTGAAGAACTTAAATTAATAAGCAACGGCATTGTACTTCTGAGGACTAAACTAATTCTTTAAATGACAATACAATGGTGACTCAATAAATCGAGCACATACAATAAACATTTTTATATTACCATTACATTTTATTATTACATTTTATTATTACATTTTTATTTTTATATTTTTTTAAGTTTTAAAAAAATATACAACTTCTTTAACTTAATCAAAACTATCATCACAGTGCAGTAACGCAAAATACACACAATTTCTAACAATATTCTACCATCTTTTTGCTATTGACTGACAAACTTGTAACTCGCTAAATTAGACCCCTACCAGTTCGATTTCTTCACTTACCTAATTCCCCAGTGGGTACGGAGAAGTCAGCTGGTAGAATGGCAAACTTTTGTACTCTCTGTGCGTTGGAGATTGCCTGAGTGTTGGCTCGGTCAATGCCAGCTTGAATTGCATCCATTATCTGAAACAAGTTGGTGAGAGATTTAATTAAAATCACTTAAAGCTATTGAAAGAAATGAAAATCCTGAAGGTGACAGTAACACCACGTTAGACTAGCAAGGTAATCCTCAATGCAGTCTCGTCCTCTCAAATAAGGAATGAAAACCCAATTTCAAACCTTTCTACATAAAACCAATGATTTCTTCTAAAGCTACGCGCCCATTAGGTCGGTACGGTCGTCACGGTGAAACACTAAACCTTAAATCAATCATCTTAGGCCTGTTTCACATCTACCCGGCTCTCGGGTGCCAGATGTCGTTTAACCGGCAATGGGATAATGAAGTATACGGGACCGTTCACATATTCACGGCATGTGTCGTTGACGGTTAAACACTTGGCCGGCTGTCGGGTACTAGTCGAGGGATGCCGGGTGCCCCCTTGGCGAAGGCCGGCTGCCGGTGTCGGGTAAACAAGCCGGCTGGAGTAGTGGGTATAGCGGCGCAATGTGACTGTTCACATACAACCAGCACCTGCCATCTGTCGGGTACACCAAGTGTACTTTTAGTTCAATTGTTTGTAGTTATTGTGTATTACTTTTCGGTATTTGTTCGCAAAGTTTTGGTCATGTCGGAAATAGACCATGAACTACTTATTAATTTAGTTCAAGATCAGAACTATTTGAATTAAATTAAATTTTTACTCAGTTTTTATTTTTTATTTTATTTTATTACATAACATTGAAATAAAATTTACTCAAATTCAAACTGAATGAAATTTAAAAAAAATCCAAATATAAATACTGTTTCAATAAAAGTTATTTCAAAGTAACGTTACAATTGCTCTATTACGTTCCATTTCCATCCCTACGACACACAAGTTTCACAAGCTGGAGCACAACTGCCGGAGTGCCGGTATCGGCGTAATGTGTAAAGGTACACCCGTGCCGGTGCCGACTAGAAGTCAGGTTAATGACATGCCGGGTAGATGCCGGGTGGATGTCAAACGAACTTTAAAATACACCTTATTGTAAAAATGTTGTGTAAATCTAATCTTATCTCCACTTCTTTACCTCCTTGGGTCCCTTCAGTACGTCAGCGACTGTGGTAACTTCACAGCCTAGATCCTTACACCAGTTCTTAACTTCTTTAGTCAGCTCATCCTTAGGGGCTCCTGAGTCAGGGTCCATTTCAGTCTGAAACAAAAAAGTGTCGAATGAGGCTTGGCTCAGTGTATATAATGTAAAGTGTTAATTAGGAAATACACTTTTGTGCTAATTTGAACATTAGAACCTCACTCTGATTGATTACTAAACTGTTTGTATATGCTGACAATGCGTTAAAGTTTTTAATATAATTTGTGATTACCTATACCTTCTTTCTTACTACATGACGACCTTAAAAGGGAACCAAGGGATGCCATTAGAATAGACACTTTACCATGGACTTTTGGTAATTTTGTTCTAAATTTTTAAATTTCCAAACCAAATTCATAGGTACAATCCACAGACCTTTTTCCTGGTCAAAAGTTCATGTGAAATTCCTGGTGTTCCCAGTTAGCCTGTTGGCTGTTTAGGACTTCAAAACACATATCTTTACTTTGTTCATGATGTAAATACATTAACCTCATTTTCCCGAACAGGGGGGTCATATTAGGGAGACTCTGGTGCAGTTTTAAAAGGAACCACTTGGTTATGATCCACTGTCGAGTAAAAAAAAATTATTATTTCTTATTTCATTCAGCACCACAAAAAGTAAGCTTTTCAGGAGAGGAGAACTTTTTGTACATTGAAGAACTTAATTCATCAACTCGTCCATGCTATCCAAAACTCCTTCCATGTTTCAGTTCCAAGCACACAACTGGAAATAATTTTTTGCAACCGCGGCAAAATCCTAGATATATCTCTCGCTGAGAAAGAAACCTCAATATCGTCTTCCGCAATCACAGCAAAATATTGAACATCTCCTGCGGCCGCAGGATATTTAGTTGAATCAGCATGGAGGGCCCTCTCTGGTGTGACCCGCCAGGGCTAGGAATATTAACATTAATGTTTTATCCTCCTAGACTGGTGGCCACATTGATTCTAAATACGGCCATATTATAGCGCCTTCACACAGTCTACGAGGACAGTTGATGCAACCTGCATGACTGATGACAATTAATTCTTTAACTTAAGTTGGTGGAGAATTTAATTGATTGGTCAAGTAATAGTGTCAGTATAGCTGTTTCATAAAAACATATGGTAATTCTCATATAAATGTTGTTATGATAGGAGGCCCGTGTGGCTGAGCCTGTCACATAATCGCAGGCCCGTGTCCCGGTAAAATTTCGCAAAAAATCCCAGTCAAGGCCCACAGGCCCCCCTCCCTGTGGGAGTTCCGCTATTGTCACCACTGGAACCAGAACCTAGGAGAATGTAGTTGATTTAAGCTGTCAGTAGATCTAATTGATTTGTAGCATAATTGATCTACACTCTCTATCACGCATTCTCTTGATCTCTCTGACTTTGTCTTTCTTTCCCCCCCCCCTCCGAACCAAAACCGGCACTGCTACTGCTTACCCATCATGTTCATTTTAGGCCTACTATCACAACTCAACAACTGATCCTGGCACTGAGTCACTCTGCTATTGACAGTATTGACATAGATATAGACAATGCTTATACAATGTTTAACAAAGCCTATAATCCATGATCACTATACCTTTAGAGTAAGTAGTACGGAGAGGAACTTTCTTCGGTCGCCGATGAGCTGAGCGTTGCTAATACAGGGAAGTTCCTTTTTGATAGTCTGTTCTATCAGCACTGGAGGGATGTTCTCACCTCCAGCTGTGATCAGCAACTCCTGAGGAACAATTTGATAAGTCAACAACGATATACAATGTTATTTATTAACATTTTTTATTGAGAACGTTACAAGCATCATAAGACATTTACAGAGTAGTTTTTCAGTTAAATTTTACAATTATTGCACCTGAATCATGTTTGGGTAAGCTCTATTTCCGAGTAGAAGCGTCTTTCCAGCAGCTTATTTGTAAGTTTTGTTCTGTAATGGACAGACTATCCCAATATAATACTAAAACAAAGTTTCTCTAAAGCTAGTAATATTTGCTAAGAAGAAAGCCTCCACTTAAATAACCCGTGAAGCCTAACCTTTATCCTTCCAGTGATTCGTAGAAAGCCCTTGTCATCAACGGTGCCAACATCCCCGGAGTGAAGCCAACCTTCAGTGTCAATCGCAGCTTTGGTCTTCTCAGGTTCGTTGAGGTAACCCATCAACACGTGTCTCCCTCGCATGCAAATCTGGAATTACAAATTCACACTGATTAAAACTGACTAAAGGTATCACCTGTATACAAATTTTCATTTTAGTTAGCTATTTGAATATGAAGCAATGAGGCAACTGTTATTTGTAACACTACAAAACTGAGGGCGGTAACTCCAAAATGTTCATTTAAAATTTACGACTGAAGGTCTACTATAATAATTCTACTATAATAAAACATAGTTCAATTTCTGGTTTGGTTTCAGTTGTAAATGTGTACAATGTTTCCACCCTTTTTTAACTTACTTTGCACGTTTGCTTTGTGAAATCTGAAAAAAATTATTACAACTCTATTGAAAATTTCAAATGGCTGCATAAAGAATAACCCTTGAAGGTAAAAAATAGTATAGAGGCTTCCATATTATTGCACGAGAAATCTCTGGTTTGGATGAAATAATTTAGTGTGATGAGCGGGATGCTCATACGCATCAGAACTTTACCACACCATCACTTTTGCTATTTTGTTCATTATTAAACAAATTCTGTTCCATCAAATTTAATATACCTATACAGAGTTACGGAAAGGGAGGTAGATGCGAAAGTTAACTGTCTCTGTTCTCTCGCACTACCAGACTACATTTTCTCACGATTAACACGATCTTGAATCAAACACTTGGTTTTGTAAGACCTTTGTAGTGTTGAGGGATTCATCTCTAGCAAATCATAACTCACCTCGCCTTGACCGTCTGCGTCAGGATTGTGGAGCTTAGTTTCTGCTCCAGGAACAGTTCTGCCAATGGAGTCAATTTGGAAATCGTTGGGCTTTGAGAGGGTGTGGGCTCCAGAACTCTCGGACATTCCAAATGCCTAAAAAGGGTTTTGATTATGAAATAAATTAGGTACAGAGGGTTCAAGTAATAATATAGATGCCTTAGATGCGTAGCTAAAAGGTTATTAGTTACAACTTATTAGTTTAAGGCTTGAGCTAGGCCCATTTTGTCCTAGATCATTGGTATTTCAATGAATTGTCCTAGCAAAAGAAACCTTAGCCAGAAACAACTTTCAGATAATCTCTTTTTATTCTAAACTCATCTTCCGCCATATTCAGCTTAAAATACACACCTAGGTGGCATTGCTGTCTAAAAATATAAATACAGGTTGAACCCTTCAAAATTGTATAGTGTTTATGAAAAAAGTTAAACTTTGAAAACTTTGATATCACATAGAGAAGAAAGTGACAACAAATAGTTCACACCATGCAAAGTGCCAGTACTCATTAGTTCTTTAAAATTTGCTACTTGATTCACTCTTGGCTTGTTCACTGAATACAACATGGCTTTGACATAGATAGAACTAGACATTCCATTTTCATACAAAAGTTGTCGCCAGTTTTATAACAAAAATTTGCTTACTTGAATTGAGCCACATAGAGTGTGCTGATGTAAATTACTGACTTTACGTTGAAAACCCAAACTTGTTTAACCAAGTGGAACAGAAAGGTCAACAATAGAATTATTTTTATTGCAACACAATCAAGAACTGGCCAATTTAACATGTTCTATTTGAATAACGTAATTTGCTTCAGCTGGTCTACATGAGGAATGTAAAACCTGGTATCTCAATGATAAAATCATTGTTGAAACTCACGTCAGCAATGAGGATGTCGATGCTCATGAAATACGTCTTGATGTCAGTAGAAATGGGAGCAGCCGCAGAAAGACAGATTTTAGCTCTGTCTAGACCCAACGCCGCTTTAATCCTGCTGAACACCAGCCAGCGATAGAACTTGTACCTGTATGGTTCTACAGTGTTCCTGTAACAAACAGTGACAACAGTCAACAACAATAACATGACTATTTATATTCTTCAAGTGTTGAATCTTGTAATTACTTTATTTTTCCTGCATCATTGAAATAAACCTAATAACTGCAAAAATTGTTGCACGAATCAGTGTAAACTGGTTTATGTTGTAAACAAATTAATTGAATTTGAAATTTATATCAAAATCAGTAAAACATTGCAGCATCAGTACGTATTTATAGAATGTGTTTTTTTTTTCAATATTCAAGATTTTTATTTGCCATTAAGTACTTATCAAAATATAAATTTTCAAAATTGTTTTTTTTTTAAGTTCAACATACAAATTACTTTCATTTTAAAGAAACAGTGTGGATGCACCAGCAAATAACAACTTAACTTGAACTACAAGAAATGCTAAACTTGGACGCGAATACCAACTTTATTTTGAATACGTAAGATTAGTGTATGTAATTGATGAACTATTATCTGTACTATAGAGCATTCTTTATATAAACCAGTTTAAAACTACCTAACTCCACTAGTTTTGTAGAAGAGTAAACAACCTTTTCCTCGACCTAGTACAACTTTCTTTCTTTCTTTAGTGACACAAATGCCTACACAGGGCCGTCAGAAGGAGAGGGCAACCGGGGCAAGCTGCACCGCGGCTTTTTGTATTAACATAGTATTAAAAATATGCGAATGCGACTATTACTGGGGGGAGAGGGGGCACCACGACCACGTTTGCTCCGGGCGCCGCCAACCCAAGGGACGGCCCTGTGCCTACGACTACAAACAGTTACCATTACTAATTGAGATGAGGACACATCCTTCATGCTCCCCAAGATACCTTAACCCAAATTAATGAAGGTTGTGTGTAAAATGCAGTGAGAGGTCTTGTGTTGATTTGTTACTGAATAACGTCTGTATATTTTGCTAGGACCATTAATCCCCAAAATAAACCCCCTGTTAAAAGCCCAATAATCAACCACAATTTTTTTTTTTTAGTTACAGTTCTACTCATTCCAGTAGTACCCGTTCATCATGCTCAAGTTGTGTTGCAGACAACACGCCTTGCCCCATGTGGCTATCATCTTCTTCAGTCCTGTCGTCTGCGCTCCAATAGCCATCATCTTCTCATGGATCTTCTCCCAAACTCGAGGGACAGCTAGGAACACTGTAGGTCTTACTTCTCCCAGAGTCATTACCAGGCTACCCTGTGAAAAGAAGATTGGTCTGTAATTTATTTATAGTATTTGAATGAGAAAAAGAATTAATAAGAATCCTTTTGAATTTGAATCATTTAAGGTCTGTATGACCCTCTCATCTCATTTGTTTATTCTTTATAATTTCCTCCCCTCATAGAGATAGATCTTGTGCTTCCTACAACTAGTAAAACCAGATGTGACGGTTGTATTTGTCTGGAAATATATCTAAAAAATTGTTGGGAACAATTCCTCAAAGAGAGCTTCTCAAACACAATTCAACTCTGCATTCTCCTCACATCCATCCCATCCCTAGGTCTAGCAATTTAACAAGGTGCAGGGTTTTAATAAAATAACAGTGGAGTCAAGATGGCTTATAAAAATCAGCTAGTAACACTAAAATCTAAAAGCTCAAATAGTTGTTCTAAGTTTACAAAATTTGTTGATATTTTTTTTACAGTTTCCTAAAACATTTACTTAATACAGTAAAGGCTTTAAGTTTTCTACTCAATTTCATTTTACATGTTCAATGTCAAGAAAAATAATCAAGTAATAATAAAAAAAAGTAAAATAATCAATTTACCTTCAAAGCATCCTTATCAGCAAAGGCGGTTTTTGCACCAACTGTCATTGTGATGTAGATATCGGCTAGCTGAAAAATTACAAAATAAAAATAGATAAGAAAACCTGTAAAAACATTTTTTTGTCATTAACACCTTCCCTATATACCAGTTTTCACCAATTTTGTAGGTGAGACTTTGAAGTGACTATGGCAATTTTTCATGCAGTACTGCGGTCGTATTAATTTAAAAAGTTAGCAAAATGGATACAGAATACATCAACACATTCTGGTGATTCTTTTTACAGTATTTGGTTATTGCCTACACCAGTGGCATTAGGTCCTGCGTTCAAAGCACTAGACTTTTTTCTCATGTCCCACCTTCACATCCTAGGAGGAAGGCCAGGAATTGTTTACACATAACTTTAGCGGAGGCAGAGTATTTTCGCATTATCCCCTGGATAAAATTTATTGGTAATTGGCAAGATTTTAACTATGAACTTCAGGGTAGAGGTCCTGCATTCTAGACCAACCACAATTCTAGTAAACCTACAGAAGTATAATCTAAGGTTCTACTAACCTGAGCTGCAATATGGCTGAGAGGAAGGAAAGAGACGATGCTCTCAGTTCCATCTTCTACTTCAAGGTAGCGAGAGGCTGCGTAGGCATCCCAAGTGAGACAGTCATGACTAAGCATCACAGCCTTGGACTTGCCTTCCGTGCCAGACTAGAAACAGAAAAGAGAAAATAAGCATAGAAGAAGACTTTAAAGGTCTAGCGAAGATCACGAAAGTTGGAGGATATAGAGGATTTGGAAGGTAAAATGGTAGGAGGTTATGTCAAAGTGCAGCATGTGGTTCTAGTAGTGAATAGTAGTGAGTAGACAACTCAAACCTTATAGAGTGTATGGATGAGAAATGTAAGATAAATTTTTCTTTTCAGGAGACTATTTAGGAGAATGGATTCAAGCCATATTGACAGAAGTGTAATGTCAAAGTGGTATTGTTTATGTAAGAAAATTGTTTGAGAAAAATGTAGAACTCTAGTGTAAGAAGTAACTAAGAAATTGAAGTTTTTCTCTGTATTTTCTGAAGGTAGGGTTTGTCATTCAAAATGGACTGTCGAGTACGAAAAACGTCTTTGGGAGTTGAGTCTCGATTCTACAGTCTACTAAGTACTTAACTAAGTCGTATTGTAGTTAATCCTAAGTTAAATGGCTACAATGCATTATGAAACATCAGCCAGTATTTGCCATTGCAGTATGTCAGTATGTTCAGAATGACGTCACATCTCCCGGAGACAGAGATTTGACAATTAATTTACAGACTCATATATTTAGTAACATCCTAACTGTGAGATATTTTCCTTGGTATAGCCATGTTTGTGTACTAATATTGTCTAAGTTATAGGTTTATTCTGACATAAAGATAGACTCAGGATCCAGATCCTTACGTATTCCCTTAGAATTTTTCTCTCATAATTTGTGTTGAAAATACTTACAGTAAAGACTAGAGTGCAGCATTCATTGATGGCAATTTTTTTAAGAGCTGCCTCTAGTTCTGACTCGCCTTGCTTGCTTCCTAGGTCCATCAGTTCTGTCCACTGAAATATAATAAACACTTTGTTTAAAATATACAGGGTATACTTAACATCAATAACAATTCCTGTAGGAAATAAATGTAAACTTGGAATTTATTTTTTGATAACTAAGAGGATAAAATTCTACGGTTCTTCATCTGTCTAGATAGTAGGAAACCACCAGTTCTTGGCATTATTACATAGCTGTAAAAACCATTGGTGTTAAGCAGGAGTTGATCCCTTGCCTCTTGCCTCCAGGCAGAATCCTGTGTTTTAAGTATATGCTACATAAATAGTATGAGATTGGATATCCAATGTGCTTGGGTCCCAATATGATTGGTACTAAGTCGGCATAATGAGTTAAAATCTCATATTGACGGATAATTCTTGATCTATCCTTTCATAAATGGTGTATGTGAACTGTCAGATTGTCCATATAGATAATACTGATTAGGCAGCAGCAATGAGTGTAATATTTAGGTGATTAGCAATAATTGTGACTTTTAAAATTCAAGAGCAAAAAAACTAAATAAAAATGGTACAGTATATCCTTAAACAGCTAGATAAAACAGACAAATTTGAGAGTTTTGGAGGTTAAACAGTTGTATTTAACTATGTGTTTTTGTTACAAAATACACAAATGGATGTAATATACCTTAACACATATCAGTCACTCCAATCCACCTGCTTGAGCTGTACATTTTCCAATAGTTTTTCTAAAGACCCATCCCTCAGACTTGCCTGTTGCACTTTTAAGAATACGTTGTTATTTTGGTTTTTTTTACATATGTAAAAAGTTCTCAAAGTCCTGATTCTATATTTTCGTATTAGGTACGGTATGATTTAGTTTTGCTTTGGCCACCCCCACAAGTAATTGACAAGTTGGTGAATTCCTTCTTCTAGAAAAGGATTCAGCAATGACATTAAATTCTGTCTTCAGGTAGGGTAAACTCTAGCTGTCTGGCTTTGTTTTACCCTTATAATTGACAGGTCCAAAAATTCCTATTTCCAGAAAATAAATCAACAATGATATAATTATCTTTTTTTTATTTTCACCAACTCACACTCATGACTCCAGCAGTAGTGGGGGTCCCTGAGTACTGAATGATGGTTTTGAGATGAGGAAGAGAGTCCTTGATCTTCAGGATCTTCTGTAGCTGCTTATCATCTTCTACCACACAGATGTTAGCACTGCTCTGTTCCAGGCAATGATGACATGCTTCCGGGTTGTTGGTGGTGTACATCCCTACGGCAAATCCTCTGGAACAATCAACAATACATAACCTATGGACTATGGAGATCTACAATACAAGAAAAACTTTAGTGTAAGGAACCCGTCTTTACTTGATAGTTGTTTTTTGTGGATTCAGAAAAGACTCTAAACTACCCGATAAAAGCATCATCACAATGCTATAGAGCCCAAGAAAAGTTCTAGATGGAAACACCTCTTTTAACTTAATAGGTATTAACATTTTAGACATGCATCAAACCTTCAGATGAAGGCGCTATATAACTCCGTTTTTACGACATATAAACTCAAGCTATAAGAACAGCTGCTTTAATAAATATACAAGTCAAGAGGGTTATGAGGAAATAGTAGTTAGTTATGGTATAAAGATGTACAGGTAATGTGTACCTTTTGACATTTCAATGTGGAACCTTGTTACGTTAGGAAAAACATTAGAGAGCTTTTCATTGTAAGACTTTGAAAGCCTCCTTGAAACAATTCAAGGCCAGGAGGTTCGTTCATTGGCTCTATGTGCTGATAGTATACTTCAAAGGCAACACTAAATAAACGTGTTGCCTTGATACTTCCCATACCATTTTATTTTATTAGGCCCAAAAGCTACATAATGAAATACAATATCTATTGATTTTTCCTCTTGACACTACTTGGATTTTTATGTCCCGGTAGGGCTATAAATGTATTAAAAGGATCAAGGATACAAAAATTACAATATAGTAACATAGGTACCGGTATGTAAGATTTGAGCCAAGGATCTTTAGACCTTAAGTCTAGCTCAATTGGAAACACACAGGCAAAAAATATCTTATGACAATCAGCAGACACCAGCAATATGTAAGAATTTGTTACATGGAAAACCCTGCAAAATGTGCCAGAGTCCAGAGTTAAATCGTAACGTATCTTGAAAGCATGACTTTTATCCACTTATAATAATTCAACAATCAGCAATACAACAATTGCAATTGCAACAATAAACAATTGTCCCGTAACAATAAACAAACACCTTTGTGGATTGAACTATCTTTGACAAGACTACAAACGAGTAACTTATAAGTCAACCATTCACAAAGTCCACATTGACTAAAACTTTTAAAAACTAGTGAATAATGTACTCAACCTACCCAGCGTAGATTGCTCCCAGGTCAGCATAAAACCATTCAGGGGAGTTGAACCCAATAATGCAGACTCCATGATATTTCTGCAGACCCAAGGCAAGGAAGGCTTTTGCAACTGTTTTGACATTTTGTTCATACTCCCTGCAACATTTAATACATTGTGATTGTGACTAGAATGTTTAATGGCAATAAGTAGTGTTGGAGATGTATATAAATGTTCTCATAAACAAAACTTCTACAATTGTTTGAGTGCCATCCTTAATTGTAATTTACTTTCTATAATAACACTTTCCAAACTAATAATAATTTTGCAACCTAAAAATGTCCGAACATTTTATAATTGTTTTAAGATTTATGGTGGATTACAGATTCTAATTGCAAGATTAGTACGGTAAACAAATAAAACTGAAATTTTTCTAGCTTTAGTAGGAAGAAACATACAATTTTTCAACTTCAAGGTTTTAAAACTTATTTTGTTCTTATAGTTGATAAAAATAGAAAACCAAATCTCCCTTCTCAGACCTTCTCAGTTTCTAGGATGTAGAGGATTTGACGGTGAGACTGTTAAGAGAGTATTAGGAAACACTAACTGCTGGTAAATATAATTATTTAAAGTTTCTGTGAAATAATCTCAAAGTAACATAATAGGTGCAGAAGCTGACAAAAGCAATACATAAGTTACTTGGTGCTTTGAAGAGAGTAGGGAAATATTAGGATTACATAATCTGGTAACTACAAATGTTGCAAGCTATGAGAAATGTTCCAAAAGAAGTATATAAGAGCACATTTTTAGGATCTCATAATTTAGTGACTTCTCATTATCATTACCTGTATGTGACATTCTTCCATACGCCATCCTCTTTGTACGACAAAGCCGTATGGTCCGGCCACTTGGCTACGGCTCTGCTCATCAGCCCCGGCACGGAGATCGGCGGTTGGTTGGCTACCTCGTTGTTCTGGTCTATCCGGAGTTTCACTCTCCCGCTGGGCTCGGATGTCCATTGGTTGTCGGTCGGGATTACCTGCTCTGGTCCTGCACAGTCCTAAGTAAATGTCGATTGTTGTCACACATAGAGGTATGAAACAAATATGGATTGATTTTGTGGATTTAATGTTAATGAGATGTTGATGGAATGAAGAGATTGTAAGTTGAAATTAGTATTTTCATCTGGATTACGAGGCACTAGCAAACATTCTACATCCTCTAAAAAGTATGAAGGCTGTAGGAATAGCAAACCAGATTGTGAATGTGCATTTCAATACTAGATACATATTTTATTTCATTTTTTTAAGATAGCAGACTGTTCAAGTAGTAATCTGGATTATTCATCCAACAATATTCACAAATTTTTATTGGGAAGGTAAGTTGCATCAGCTATTGAACAGCTGTTTTCTTGAATGTGAATCATCTAATTGTTATGTCATTGTCATTAGATGATTCACACTGTTATGAATCGGTATTGAAATAGGGTATACCTACCAGTCAAAAATCTCTGCTGAATATAGGCCTAACTGTTCTAGCCTATATCACTATAACAAACCCTGAGTTATAAACCCAAAGAAATAACACAGTTTCTAATATTTGTTGACATACCGTACGTTTTAAGTGTAATAGGGTGTTTACTTATTTTTGTCATTTTTGTTTAATTCAACACATTCTTATTCATGTCGTAGAGTTAATTCCCTACTATAAGCTACTCCAGGCACAACATGAAAATGTGGGCGATTTAAGGGTCTTCTTGAGTTCCCCCACCACTTAATTAGCTTAATGTATAGGTACATGGTGTCCCGGAACTCTCGACCAATATTTTAGGGCATTGTTCCTGAGTAAGAAAAACATTTAAATATCATATTTAAATTGTCCGGAAGTCCTTAGATACTCACAGAGACACAATTTTTTTTGTTATTAATTTTTTTATAAAAAGTGGTTTAAGATATGAAATTGAAACTTTGCGCAGACATTTATAAAAACTAGACAAAGCTACAAAAAATTATGACAATTTTTTAAATTCATAAAACAAAATGGCGGACATTCAAAATTTTTGTAAAATTAACGGTTTTTGGAGTTATTTTAAGAAACAAAACAAAAATTAAATATACTAGAGGATGACAAGGCACAGTAAGCAATATATTATTAGCCTATTATAAATCAATTTAGAAAAATAACTGCTAAAAGTAGTTTTAGATTTAACTTACCATCTTCATAGATTTTTACTTCATTTTCAGCAAACCTGAAAAATATGATACGTATATAGTTTGTACAAGGATGGATACTTGTTAATTATAAAATATATGGAATGAAAAATCCCGACTCTCAAATTTCGTATTTTTTATTCGAAAACATTTTAGTTAAAATAAAAAAAAAATATTTCTCCATACCGTATAGGGGGAGAAAGTAAAAATTGAAATCTGAAATAAAAAATAAATATTTGCAAAAGAGGTTTTATAATGTTATGTATTTTGACACAAAGTTTGGTGACAAAATGCTGAATTCCTGTTGTGGAGTCATGAATGTTGTGTGGTGTAATACTGTATCTCTTATCTTTTCTCTGTAATCATCTAAGCAATCTATGCACTTTGTAATGATTAAGTTACTACATAATTGGTCAACTGTTCATTATAACTCACTTGTTTTATGTTGCAAATTTTCAGTTAAAAAATTTAAACAGCATACAACCATAGATAAAAGGATCTATGATACAACTAACAATAAATATTTCACAGAAGGAAAGTTTATATGTAACACTAAGTTGATTGTATTAAGTTTCATTAAACCCTAAACAAGTTGTGAAATCTACTATTTACATTATATCTGCTTTGAACACAGAAATAATAGTCCTCTGAAGCTAATTTTGGAAAATTGTTAAGTACGGTATCAGCAGGTTAAAAAAATATAAAATATTTTTAATGGAACCTCTAGAAAATGAATAAATTAAATGTACTGTACCGGTAGTTAGATTGACAACATATTTTATTTATTGGCAGCATTTTGAGAAATGCAAAACGTAATGTAAACATTATAAATTTTTCTTCTTTCTGGCAAGCAGAACAATTAATTTTTGTTTAATGCCCAGGTTGGAACTCTAAACTCAGGGGATTGTCAAACTTATATGGAAAAATTTCCTTAAAGTTTTAAGACATTTGGATAAGAATTAGAATAGAGTAATTCACAGAGGGCAAACATTAAATTTCGTTATGGAAGGGATTTAATTATCAAAATTGTTTTGTAGTCTTTTTTGTGAATATTAGAGATATAAAAGCTAACGTAAATAATTTATACTGTTTACTTACTTTGGAGGTGTTTTGGTCTGTGGTACTGTCGCTTGAACAGGGCTTTCTTCAAAGGTTTTAACTTTTTTCAAATTTCCCTGTAGAGACAGTAAAATTTAAAATAGGATTAATATACAGTATAATAGTAGTTTTCCTGATGGAAAAGACATGATTAAACCCCAACCATTTCTTTAATTTATGAAGTTAGTTAAGGAGACGAAATGTGTATTTCTGAGATATGAACATTTTTATTGAACTTTTGATTTATTCACATTCTAACACACAATACAAGTTTTCAATCAACTTTTGAAGGTACACATTGTTTGAATAACAATGCACAATAGCATGGTTATCTAAACAGTAAATGTCTTACAAATAGTCTTAACTTTTTTTATTGTGCAATTAAGTTTTTTAAGCTAGATATTGACAAACACAATGCATTTATACGTTGTTAAACCAAGCACTTTTTCACTCATGCAATTTATAATTCAAGTTTGGATTTAACATTAAAAGACATGCATTTATAAAAGTTACAAAACCAAGGAAAAACTACTATAAATTGGTTAAGAGGGTTCTACCCGGTCAATTAAAGATGGTGGCTAAACATGCTAATGTTTCTAAACATGCCTCTACGGTACAAGCTCTCAACACTCTAAAACTAATTTGTTTCCAATTATTGTGTGTTTGTTGCGTTCTAACATATCAGGGCTTTCAGGGGCTTGCAGTGAGTGGAGCAAAAATCATTTTTAACTATTATTTAGAAGTCAAAATCGCATGTTAAAAAGACTAATTTACGGACTTTCAAAATTATTTTGTAAATACTTAAAGAAACAATTACGAAGCTTCAGTCCAGACAGTGCATGGTTTGGATCTGTGAATATTTTACAGTTTATTTCAACTAGATGAACACTTTAATAGTGTCAGGAGGTTATTTTTTAGGACCACGTTTATGGGGTAACCAGCTGGTGGGCGGAACCATCTTAAAGCGAAATGCTATAAAAGACTGAGTTCTTACTGACTAAACAAACAGTAAAATAAATAAGATACACAAATATTTTAAAGACATATTTTAAATACCCCAGAAAACTTAGTTATATTAAAATACAAGGCAATAATATAATACAGTTTTTTTATGTTACCCAAATGCAATGTTAAACAAAAACAACATAACTAGTTCACATTTTCGGATTTTGGTATCCCTGTACGGTATTCTATTTATCATTGTCAATCAGCTGATATAGTATACACAGGTTGAATAGTTAGTGTCTCACGGCAATTATTGTAATTATTTGTTTGCGTAAAAACTCCCTATAGAGATGTTTTCAGGCTACCAATTTTGACCAGTGTCTCTAATCATAAATAGGCATAATTACAACGAACCTTTGGTTGAATTTCTTTGGTAGTTGTTTCTTCTTCACTGTTGTGTCCGTTTAGTTTGATGCCTTCAAACCCGTTAGTGAGAGCAGCCTCCTGTACTGCTGCCATGGTCCTGTAAGAATAAGGCATTCATAATTAATTATAAAATAGTAATTGCACTAGTAGATGTCTTAAATAATGAATAGGTTCCCGTATACATCCCGTGTATGGAATAGTTGTACCATTTGTCATTTCATCTTCCCGTATACATCCCGTGTATGGAATAGTTGTACCATTTGTCATTTCATCTTCCCGTATACATCCCGTGTATGGAATAGTTGTGCCATTTGTCATTTCATCTTCCCGTATACATCCCGTGTATGGAATAGTTGTGCCATTTGTCATTTCATCTTCCCGTATACATCCCGTGTATGGAATAGTTGTACAATTTTTAGTGTAGTTGTATCATCGATTTTCGATACTGTAACTACTGTAATGAAATTTGAATACTGCAACTAAACTTCTCTTCATATTGTAAAATGTAAGAATCAGGTTGTGTTTGAAATGTAAAATGTTGTTTTAAATGTCAGGTTGCCTTTGAGCGAGTTAATTTATACTAATGTACATTTTCTCTAATTTAAGAGTACATTTTACATGTATCCTTTATTCAGTTGACAGATCAGAGGCCATGATGTAGTTTACATGAGCGTTTTGTTTGGTTGTTATAGTAATCCAAGTACATTTAACTATCTTAAAATTATATAGAGGACGACAACAGATGACAGGAAGCAGTCCTTTAAGAATTAAATACAGTATTTTCAAGAGGTATGTTTAAATTAGAAGTAAAAAAATAATATGTCAAGCGAGATATAAATTGTTTTGCAAATACTGTATTTACATAATTATGATACAGTTATTTGTATTTATAGTTTTTTCGTCTTGTTTGTACACTCTGTAATCTTAGTGTCTAGTTTTGCACACATACTATGACGGATGTCCACGAAAGCTATGTTATAATAGAAAATAGTGTCTGTGGTGAGTAAAATTTCAAATACTCGCGAGAGAGGGACGATGCCTGTAGGAAAGGGAACTTGGGAATTGGGTAACTAGCGGTACCCTGAACTTGGGACGAGTCAGGTTACTTTTGCCTTCGAGTTCATAATCCACGCCGCGCCGGCTGAAAACTCATTGAGACGTTCGATAAATTAATACGGGATTATCGTGATTTTAGCGTAAATTACGTGAGAACAAGACAGCTGTCGGGGCATTGCACGTACTTGATTCTAACCTTTATATTTACATAGATTAAACCATAGAATTTCAGCAGTGCAAGACCATTTAGATTCCTTTTTGATTGGAATACGCTTTTACTTTCTCCTCCTATACATAGTATATGGAGAAAGTATTGTTTTCGTCAAAATTTTCGAGTTTGAGTTTTGAGTTGATATATCCATTTTGGGTCCCCCTGAATCCAAAAAAGCGGTTTACGAAGTGATGTATGTGTGCGTGCGTGTGTCTGGATGTGTACAGAGCTACAGACACCACCTGTAGTCCGATTTTGATTACATTTGGTATGTAGGTACCAATCCATGGTATCTCCAGGCATTTTTTCCATTTTTTTGAAATTTTGATTGTTAATGTTAATTTCCCCATAAAAACCCATAAAATAACGGAAAAACAGATTTTCTAAAAAATGGCCTAAACGATTTTGATAAAAATTTAGTATGTTGTAGCCCTTTAAGTTCTGAACAAAATGGTATGACTCCCAGTTCTGTAAAAATTACGGTTCAAAAGTTATTGTAAATTATGTTATTTTCCCATAAAATAACGAAAAATAGGAATTTAGGGAAAAATCCGGTTTTGATTTAACTTAGTAAGTTATAGTCCTTAAAGATTTGAAAGTTTTTCATTTTTAGATATTTTGATTTTTAATAGGGATTTTCCCATAAAACCCCTTAAATTATCGGAAAACCCGGATTTTCTCGAAAGTGACCCGAACGATTTTCTTAAAAATTTAGTATGTCCTTTAAATTCTGAACAAAATTGTACAAATCCCATTTCCGTAAAAATTACGGTTGAAAAGTTATTATAACTTTTAATAAAAAAAAATAGTAGAACACCCCATTCCTGTAACAATTATGGCTCAAAAGTTATTGCAGCTTTTGTGATTTTTAACTATAAAATATCATATTTACTCTCACCGCTTACCCATAATAAAGGTTGTTGACAAGCATATGGGAGAAATTATGTGTCAGATTGCTGATACCGTTTATTTACGATATTGTAGCCTTCAGAGCAAACCACTTTTTCCTCAAACATTGCACTGCTGGGTTTGTAATGCAATTAATACGTAACAGGAAAAAGAAAATGATTTAAACATGTTTCCTATCACTACCGGGTGTACGTACCGACTCGAACTAGAGGCTACATGTTTAAATCGCGATTAATTCTTGTTCCTATTACGTGCTAATTGTATGATGCGGATATTTAAATGTGTGAACAGCTTTTAGCAAAACTCAAGATTATGTTGAACGAATTTTTAAGTTGTACTTTTTTTTTATCAGTAAATTACGCTATTAGAAAATGTTTTTCGATGTAAATACTTCATATTTTTCTACCTAATTTGCATTTTCTTCCTCTATTCTTCTACCTGTAGGCTACTAGCCAGTATATCAATTATATTACAACACAGTGTGAATAATATATTGATTATTTGGCCTCTTGAGTTATGCTGGTATGTTAAACAAAAACAAGCAAATAGGAGCGTAAAAATGTGCAATCCAATAGGATGAAATACGACTAAATGGCATAATTATATTAGTTTCCTTCACTTACATTCATGTTTTATAAAAAAAACATTGTTTTGTTAGGTACTTTTTTATTTATTTTTTCCCGTATGTTGTATGAAGAATTATTCCAATTTATCAGTGAAAAGAAATAAGGTGTGATGGGGAAATCCATACAAAAAAACGACGTATAAGGTAAATTGAACGTACTTCAATTTAAAAAACAGCTATTTACCGCTCGAGAACCTAGATAGATAGCCGCACGAAGCTGAGGGTGGCCAACATTCCGAGAGCGGCAATGACTGTTTGTGCTCGTGCTACTTACACTATTTTTCATACCACCATAATTAACATCTCTTGCATTGTAAATCAATATTTTTTAAGTCCACTTTCACATTCTAGGACGCTAGGTGCCAGGAAACGTTTTAAACATTACTTCAGGCTAGTCCTAGAAGGTCGCAGCATTATCAAATAGGTGAAATTCATTGGTTATCGGCAGGGTTTGAACCCGTAACTTCGGGCTCCGAAGTATTCAATAGACCAGCTCGCTCCCCATAAGATTAAATAAACATATTGGTTACATGTTACCGTCTTCAATCCTATATGGTTTTAACACATTACTATAGTTTCAAAGTATTTTGTCTCATAGCGAAATCTTCCGTCTTCTTATTTCGGAACCTCTAATCCCAAAGCAAATTCCACAGATATTTATTTCGTTACAAAAGATAAATCTACAGGTAACTAATACATTTATGCAGCATCTTAAACTTCTGTCCTACATAATCACTTCATTCCATCTACTAGAACTACTTAACAGTATTTTCATCAGCGATATTTTGCAGCCTACAAGTAAACAGACGGACAGGGCGCGATTGTTTGTTGTAAGTCACTCAGCTGATCAAACAAATGGCGTAAAAGTGAAAGGCCTTGCGGGTTCGACCACGACTTCCTACCACTTGCTACTCTGTACGTCCCGTCGGCCCCGGCGGACCTGCTGACCTAGAACTAGGCATTGGAGGTGGAGGAGGCAACGTACCTGCAACGCACAGCCGAGGATAACCGGTAGCAATTATACTGTGTAGTCTGTCACATTTAGGTTAGGTTTACAGGAAAATGGTTTAAGAAACCTATACCATCGGATGAGAATAGTGGAAAGATTGGAGTGCAATGATATTGGCTGTATTTTTCTCTTTTAAAGGTGGATTTTGCGAATTTTGTTTTACTGTTCCGTTATGACAAGATATTGCTCATTATTCGATTCATAAATACATATGCTCGTAGCCAGACAAGTAGACAGTAAAGTAACCTACAAATAAACAGAATACAACTCAATACAGTATAGTTCACACATGTAGTTCACTGGTATAAAGATACCTTAGAATTGCTTCAGCTAATTCAAGGATGATGAATCAATAATGGAGAATGATTTACTATGTTAATAGTTTATGTGCGTGTTGGAAATCACTATAATTATTTGCTGGTTAGTCTAACGATGTAAGAAGTGGAAAACCACCTCGTTTCTGTATAGTTTACAAAAAACTAGCCTTGTGGAGAGTTTTTCTGATCGGAAGGCAGTTGCAAAATACTGTAGACTAAGTAGTTAGTTTAAGAATTCTTGCTCAGTTTTATGGTACTATTTTGAAATATATGGATATGAAATGGTTTTGAATACCCAGGATGTAATGAAACATTGTGTTATTTACCCGAATTAATACTAAAAAACGTCTCATGGTGTCTCGACAGAGTTAGTTTTTGAATACGACTTTTTTTCAATTTTACTAAATTTTTGATTCTATAATCTGCTTAATGTGGATTAATAACAATAATAAATAATCGAATGATCTAAAAAATATTGAAATTTGTTTCTATATCCACTTAAATAATCATCAACCTGTAAGCTACCTAGTACGGTAGGCGAAATTTATAATTTATAAAATATGATTAAATATTTTACGCTGCCAGCAGCGTGTTCCCTGACTGAAGTGAGGTTATCCCACTGTTTTATAAAACCATGGTTTTTATCCCTAAACTCCGTATATTATTTATGTCAATTGTAATGTGTATCGTGTTCGTGTTAAATGTCAATATTACTACGAAGCCCATCGGGTGGATCTTATAATAAGCATTTGGTCTACCTAAACTTCCGACTGAAGATGGACCTACGGGTTCGAAATTAATATCGGACAACCATAATAAGGATTGCTAAGGTAAGAGTTTACATTATCTATTTGATTAGCCTATATAAGCAATCCAGAGGCTGAAATGATTGAAAATATGATTTGTCTGTCTGTCCGGTTATCCCGACTAAAATAATTTACCAACGTAGCTAAAATTTAGCATAGCTATT